GTGGGGGGCATAAGGACAAGACGTATTCAATACATCCTGTGTATTTTCTTGAAGTTTTTTCTCTGCATTTAGCAAGTCTAGTGTCCACAACTGGTTAAAGTGCATTAACACCACCACTTGCTTGATCCTTCCCAGTTCTCAGGAGTGTCAGATGTGCTTTGCAGAAAATGAGCATTTACAAGCATAAAGCAGACATAACAAGACACGTCACTCACCATGTGGAGAAGAGGAATCCCCAAAACCCTTCATATCTAGAGCTATGACCCTGTACCCAGCGTCAGCCAGAGCCGGCAGCTGCAATGGAAGACAAAAGCGATGTGTGTTACTTACTCCGGAATGCCACAAACCGAGCACAGCAGCACTTACAGCAGAACTCTGCCCAGAAAAGCATGTATATTATGAACTGTGTTGATGGGCTTTTGTTCTCATCAAGCTGGTTTTGCATTCCCATACAAGTCTATAGGAATGCAAAACCCTCTTGAAGCAAGTCAATTGCAGGTCAGAAGTAGACCAATGGCAGGTCAAATGCACCTGTCATTGAATTACATTGGCATATATGGACAAATCACTACAGCCGGTGACACTGAAAGCTTGCCTGAAAAGCCACAAAGATTGCATGCATGGAACAGGATATCAGAAGGTGTCTGTGAAGGGTCTCATTCATCCAGGTCATGGTATATCAGTAAAAAATAAGTCAAGGCAACTGGACTTGCTATATTTTTCTGACGGATGGATGACCAGTGAAACGTCTTTAAGAAAAATACAGCAAGTCCAGTTGCCTTGACTTATTTTTTTACAGATAGAGGATATCAGAAGGGTACAACTGGTATAAAATGCTTTCCAGACGCAGCTCTCTAATACACAGGGGCCACTTTTAGGTACTTGGATCAACATGCTGTATAAAGATTTGCAGGGAAGACAACTAAACAAGGAGCCGCGTGTGGCCCTCTTAAATGAACCCATACCCAATCTCCCAACGCATTCTCAGACTCCGGCTTTCTTTAGAATGTTGGCTGCGAAAATATCTCCAGCACGGTCTTGGAAGACATCGACGGTTTCCTTTGCTACTCCAAAGTTAAACTTTCCTGGATTATGACTCGTGAAGAACAGAGCCAGTACTGTGATGGATAAACAATGGCAAGGATCTGGAATACTTGGATCCACTCCCTACCCTAATGGATGGATCGGGGCCCATAGAGCAGCAGACTAGAGACATATGAATATTCTCCTCCTTCTGGGCCTCAATACTCACCCCGTATTCCATGAACTCTTGAGGTGTCCCCTCTTTTCCCCTTTTTTCCCTCTTCCGGCTCTCTAACTCTGTCTCTTTTTTTATAATTTTAGTTTTGTCTTTCCACAAGTACACTATTATCATCTCATATCGCAACGCCATCATCTTCCGGTATGGTCAGTTCACTAGTTCAAATGGAACTTTACACCCACAGTAAAAGTTGAAAGGTAAAGGTCTTCATTGCAGAAGATACACACTAAGGGGGTTATTCACAAAGCTGCCGAAAGCAACCGGGTCAATAACCCACCCGAAGGGAAGAGAGCCGAGCGCTGTTCGGTTATTCACTTCAGGCTTGTACAGCTGATTTCAGCCCTACATCGGCTTGCTTGGGCTGGCTCCGGTTCCGACGAACATGCTCAGTATGTTCGGCTGAGCCGAAGATCCAACATCTGGATCGGCTGAGCCGAAGCTCCGGCAGCTCACTCGCTGCTGTTCGCCCCTATTTCCATATTCTGTGGTACCGAGCAGAATAGAAAATCAGTGAGAAAAGTTGAGGGGAAAAAAAAAGTAGAAAAAAATGTTTAAAAATGTAAAATAAATGATACATTTATAAAAATAAAGACTTTAAAAAAAATGTAAAAATAAAAAAACAATTGGACGGGGCTAGCAGTGACAACCAGCTCCACCCAACTGTTTCCTATTGGCCTGTCATTGCAACTGGGCGGAACCAGCCGTGAGATCACAGCTGGCTCCGCCCAGCTGTCAGTTGAAGGCTTTCAGCCGTCCATTCTGCCCGCTTCGGGTGTCACTTCGGCTCAGTCGAGCGGAAGCATATGCCTTCGGCTCGGCCGCCTTTGGGAGCTGTACGGGCTATTGTGAATAGCACGTACAGCAGTCCTTCGGTTCAACTGAACCAAAGGGCTCCGGCGGCAGAAGCTAGCCGAAGGATCAGCCGGAGCTCCGGCTGATCCTTCAGCTAGCTTTGTGAATAACCCTCTATGTCTCTTCTGCAATAAAAGATTCTAACCTTCTACACAGTTACGTCATCCCGACCAATCAAGACGGCCAAAGATCCAAACCTGGAAGAAGATGTTGGCAGTGGTGAGGGAGCTTGCGGATTGCTGGATGGGAGGTGAGTAGGGATGAGTCTGGGCTTGATATGAACCCAGTTCCCCTAAGTAAGCTCAAAACTCTAAATCGCCACTTCCTCCCAACCTAATCACTTAGGGCCGCCCCACAGCAATAGGTAAGGAGCACCAAACCAAATTATGAAAGAGTCCAAATCGCTTTAATGATTCACAATAGGATCACATGAAGCAGCCAACACATTTTGGGGGCCACCACGCTTCCAATCCACTGGGGCTTGGAATTATTATCAGGGCTTAAGTGGGACAAGTTAGCAGACAGATCTGTAGTCAGTCTTGCTTGCCAACACGTTGCCACTGCTAACATTGGGACACTCAATTTGACTGATATTCCGCAAGTAAGCAAGCAAGCAAGGTCGTTATAGATATGTCTGGTAACTTGTTTCAGTGAGTCCACTTAAAGGAGAACTATGGGGTCAGGGCTTTTCCCCATAGTTCTCCTTAGGGTAACGGGAGGACACAAACTAGCGTCCTCCCATCACCCTAAGCTCAGTATATAGAGAGCTACAGCTCGCGGTATACTGAGACGCCGCATCTGAAGCGGATCCCGACAATTGTGCGGGATCCGCCCAGCTGCGTGACTGACAGCTGGCTCTGCCTATCTAGAGGCAGAGCCAGCTGTGCCCACCCCCTCCCCCGTCCGTTCCGCCAGTCAGCGATGGCGGATCAGAGAGGGGGAATCCAGCCCCTCCCCTATCACAGCAGAGAACCGTGACAGGATCGAGAGGTGAGCGAACGCCGCTATGTGTTCGCTCACCTCCCGATCTACTAAGCCGACCTGTGACAGTCTCATTGTCACAGGTCGGCTAGAACTATGAGGTGAGTGAAAAGCACTCACCTCATAGTTCTCCTTTAAGCCATGATGAGGATTCCAAGCCCCGATGAAGGGGGAGTGTGTTGGTCCCTGAAACGCATTGGCTGTTTTATGTGCTCCTATAATGAATCCTTAAAGCGTCTTGTACTTTGTATTGCTGACAGGGACTCTTTATGATCACAGAAACTCCTTTAGTTTGTGGACGATTTATTCATTACCTGATACCTCCATGAGTACCAGCTCTCAGGAAAGCCGTGACACATGCAGATGGCCGGCCCGTTCCCCATCTCTACATAATGCAGTTTCACACCAGGCTGAAGGAAACAAAAGAAAGTGTTAGACATGTAATAGCACCAATTACCATTCAACGCAAGCCAGCAATGACAGATCGTGTGCCAAATAACAAGATGCACCCGGCGCTCATCAGAACAACAGCCAACTCAAACAGCACAACGATGTATCAAAATAAGAATCTAATAAACCCTCAAAATGCAGCCAAATTAAGACTTTTATCTGCTTTCCGTGCAATGGCAGAGCAGCTGATATGACAACCCAATTCGTGACAACCACACAAATTAAAAGGAGAACTATGGGGGGGGTTTGCTTTTCACTCACCTCATAGTTCTAGCCGGCCTGTGACAATGAGACTGTCACAGGTCGGCTTAGTAGATCGGGTGGTGAGCGAACACATAGCGGCGTTCGCTCACCTCTCGATCCTGTCACGGTTCTCTGCTGTGATAGGGGAGGGGCTGGATTCCCCGCTCCGATCCACCAGCGCTGACTGGCAGATCGGACGGGGGAGGGGGCGGGTACAGCTGGCTCTGCCTCTAGATAGGCAGAGCCAGCTGCCACTCACGCAGCTGGGCGGATCCCGGCACAATTGTCGGGATCCGCTTCAGTTGCGGCGTCTCAGTATACTGTAGCTCGCGGTATACTGAACCTAGGGTGACGGGAGGACGCTAGTTTGTGTCCTCCCGTTACCCTAAGGAGAACTATGGGGAAAAGCCTTAACCCCATAGTTCTCCTTTAAGGAGACAATTTTTAGAGGGTCAAATGTTTGCCTTTCGTTTCATTGTACCTGTTGTATTAAATTGCTGCAAAACCAAAAACAACAAGGCCGCTAGGAAGTGGCAGGTGGAAGGTCCAGCATACATGACCATCAGCTTGGCCCTGGCTTTGCTACCTAGCCAGCCAATGACACGTTAACTGAACAGTTCAGGATATCAACTAGACTGGGGACACGTGTTGCATACTCTGTGCCATAAAAAAATAACAAAAATGGCCTTTACATTAAAGAGGACCTGAACCCAAAAAATGAAGATGTGCTATATTAAAGGGAACATGTACAAATGTTATTGTGCTTAAAGTGTACCTGTGGCCAGACTATGAACATTAAACTATTTACATATACTTAAAGGGTCTCTATGGTCAAAAACTAAAAAATATTGGTCCCCCCGAGTCTCCGTCTTCCCGTCCCTCTAGTTTTTCCCTATTGGATGTTTTTGTATTGGTAATCTGTACTTTCCTCAGAAATTGGTTTAGTTTATTGTATGGTTACTATGCAAATGTCCTGTCTGTTTTACAACTTGAAACCCAATAAATCTGAAATAAAAAAAAAAGAACTAAAATAAAATCTGCATTTCTATATTGAATTTCCATAAGTTCTATCCCATTCCTAATGTGCCTAGGCACTCGTGTAGCTTCAGCTTCATAGCTGTATCTGCAATGTGAGGTCAACCAAGGCACTGCTGCTGCTGGGTGCTAGTCGGCTAAGATTTGGAGTGATATTTGGCAATGTTACTGCTGTGCTGCTCAATGTTCTCCTTGCTGGAGAGGAAGCTGTATCTGACGACCTGCAGTGCAAGCATCTCCCTGCTTCTTCTTCATTCATCATGTGGTGCCTCCGACTCTCCTGCTTTTCGTCATTACCCCACCAGTCATGAGATAACCAGTCATCAGAGGTAGCTCTAAAAGGTCCTTTTCTTTTCCACCATGACTGTCCCCTGTGTACAAAGCCAACTCCATAAAGACACTGACCAGCTTGGTGTGGAGGAACTTGAGTGTCCTGCACCGAGCCCTGACCTCAACCCGACTGAACACCTTGGTGATCAATTGGAACACTGATTGTGAGGACGGGTTTGGTGTGGAGACAATTGGATGGCCTCCACAGAGCCCTGACCTCAACCCTACTGAACCCCTTTGGGATGAATTGGAATGCCGATGCCGGGTCTTCTCATCCAACATCTGACCTCACAAATGCTCTTTTTGCTAATTGGGAAAACATCCTATATACACTTCAAAATCTTGTGGGAAGCCTGTAGGTTAGTTTAGTTTAGTGTGGGTTCTTGGCCTCTTGGCCTATGACTGATAGTGAGTGTGAGGACATGCTCATCAGTTTATGGGTTATGTGTGTGTTATTGTTAGGTTATGTTTAATTATGTTATACTGTGTAACCTGTTTATCAAAGACTGTCAGCACCATTCTCCTGCGTCTGGCCGGGTCCCCTGCTATGGCGGTCTGGAGCTCTTTAAACAGCTGGACCCCTGCGGGGTTGTGCAGTCATGATGTCTAGGGGGGGCAGGGTGGATGTGATGGGATCATAATATTATCTGATCACTTTGTGTATAAAAGTTTGTACCGTCGCTCAATAAATCAGTTTGTTTCCCCCTACACTTGGTTCCGGCTAGTGTCTGGGTAGACTGGGAGCTAAAGATCACTTGGTTGCAGCATCTCCTCAGCAAGGAAGAATTACAACGGCGGATGTACTCATCCTGAGTACTGGAGTCCATCACAGTGAGGACCAGTTTGGTGTGGAGAAAATTGGATGGCCTCCACAGAGCCCTCAGCTCAACCCTACTGACACCTTTGTGATCAATTGGAACACTGATTGTGACGACCAGTTTGGTGATGAAAATTGTATGGCCTCCAGAGGGCCCTGACCTCAACCCTACTGAACAGCTTTGTGATAAATTGGAATGCCGATGCCGGGTCTTCTCATCCAACATCTGACCTCACAAATGCTCTTTTTGCTAATTGGGAAAACATCCTATATACACTTCAAAATCTTGTGGGAAGCCTGTAGGTTAGTTTAGTTTAGTGTGGGTTCTTGGCCTGACTTCTACTTGAAGTTAGCTTGAAACCTGGACATGGACTTAATGGAAAGGTGATTATAGCCTATCTACAGGAAAAAAAACATATAACCAATGCTTCTTTTCAAATTAAAAAGACTTCACAACTTCACACAAAAGACATTGTTTTACTTCTCCAAGTCCGCTGTGCCCCTCCAGAGCGCCTCTTCCGCTAGTGAAGACCAATGATCCAAGGATGAAGTCCATGCCCATTGATAGGTCTTGTTGCCGCCCCTTCTGTCCCAATGTAACTGCTTCAGGTTCCTTAAGGACCCTGTGACAGACTCTATAGACAGCCAATGGGAACCACATACATCACCAGGAAAGAAGAGCCTTTCCCCACTGCAGTCCAGAAGAAGGAAGAATCTAGACCTGGCCTGCCACATGACCACAATTTCAGCTAAATCGAATGTAGCTAGAGGGCGGTTGGGGTAAAGTCTACAGGGAGATTATTATAACTGGTGAACGTCTTTATGTTAAGGGCCCTTCATCCCTGTATACTCCACCTTTCCTGAGCTCACTCACAGCTACTGGCTCCTCTGCAGCCGGCTTCCCTGGTCACAGCTGATTACAGCTACGGAGGAGCAAGGAGCCATAAGGAAGGGCAGGCAATGTGAGTATATTGGGAGTGGGGGGATGTCACCCGCCCCCCCACCCCCCTCATTGAACAAGTTGACAGTGTCCCTTTAAAGAAAATTGCATGACTTGTGTTCCTATACCTCATTCTGAAAATGGAAGTTGTCTGACTTCCTTTCTGAGACACTGACCAGAAATAGGGGGAGGGGGGGACAAGTGAAACCAGAACTCCAGATCTGCATACTCTATCCGGGTCAGTGATTCCAGGTTCCAGCTAGCTATTTAAGAAGGAACAGATTTCCTTTAGGGCCCCTTGTTTTGCAGCCGAATTTCCATTGCACATTGAAAATAGAGAAGAGCATGTCTACCTCCCATGGATTCTTACTGGATCAATGTTAGATTGAGAAGAGCAGCTGAGATGAGAGGAGGACGAAACACACATTTTATCAGTCTCCATATAAAGTTAGGTAAATTAAGCCAACGTGGGGTGGGGGGGAGAAATATTACCAACAGCACAAAATGATCGAGTCTTTTCATGTGTTTCTGATCAATGCTTCGCCCAGCGAGCAGGAAATAATAAGATCCCCTCGGCCCTGCATGCAATAACTCTGCTAAATGAACAGCAATGAACAGACTACACCAGCTATATATCACCGAGGAGAAATTACACTACCAGAAGTCCGATGGACAGATGTGACAGAGGATGAACTGGGAGGTTAAGGGTCACCAGTCCTCAAGGGAACCTGTGCATTGGTCATGTAAGGAGTCCCTTAAGAAGATGCAATTAATCACTCTTAAGGTCTTCCTGTGTGGCCTGTCCTCTCTTTGATTTGTAGAATTCCCAGATCAAGACAGAGCACATCAATGTATGTAGTATGGTGTGGAGAACTGAAGGGTGAGAGGTCATGTCCTCAATCTCACCTTAGTAGCTGTGGATGAGAAGATGCCATGTAGCAGGGATCACCCAGCTTGGGGGGAGTATGGCACTGCTGGCTATGGCTCTGGGGGTCGCCTCAACTGCACATTTCTGCACTTTGGACATAGGAACACTCCTACGTACCATTAAAGAATACCTGGTCTGAAGGAAATGCCAACACAACATACCGTGGTTTCATCTGATGACCCCTACATCACTGTCCAGCTCGCAATGATGTAGGGTCCGTTGAAATGAACCACATAGATTGGAGAGGGACCGGGAACCTGACATACAGAATACAGGAGATTCTTCAGAAAGCTTTATTTCTTCAAGAGAGGAAAGATCATTCACTAGATGGTGGGAAAGGCAAGTGTTGATACTTCTCTTTGCAGAAGGCGCTTTATAGAAAGTTTTTTTTTTATCTAGTGCTTTAGAAGAAACCTGTTCAGAGGAGACATGGAAACTGACTGTACGTTGTAACTTAATTATCTTACAAGGTTAGAGCCACATCTATGTGAGATGACTGCATCATCTAGGGGAAGGATGGTTGAGTAAAGATGGGTCTGGCCTTATGGGGACAGAGATGAAAGCATTGTTGAGGGTGGGTAGGGGGTTTGAAATACTCTGGTTTGAGATTACACTATATGACCAAATTCTGGTGGATGCCTGACCATAACACCAATATGAGCTTGCT